TGGAAATAAACTGATCAGTGCTGAGGGTACTGACACTTTTCGACGTGAAAATATTTTTTCACACTCTTGGATCCTATTGCGTCCTTAATGTCTCCAGTCTAGTACCTAAAACAAATGACTACTTTTCAGGCTATTGGGAGCTTTAACCCAGAGATGTCGTTTTCCTGCTATTCTTGTAACGGAAGCAAGCCACAATGCAGGCACTAAACGTGAATGCACGTCTTTCAATAGTTAAAATGTCAAACTTATTGCATGCAGTAAAATAAGGATGATTGGATTGATATGTCGAAGAAGCTCGCGAATGGCAGGTTTTTTGTAGCGATCGACGTTGCCAAGGTTCTGAGTAAAAGTGCGTCAGGCTCACAGATTTTCTCGAGAACTATTTTTCCTCGTTAAAATGGAAAATGAACCCATGCGAGCAGTTGACTCAGTCCGTAATTCCCAGTCGTTGGTTTACATTGACGTTAATCGCGCGAGGCCTGTCCGTCGTATGTGGAGCACTGCACTGGGGCCGTCACCCGGTACAGCACAGATGCGCCGATTGGCCGCTTAAGTGCCGTGATTGGCCGGGTGCGCTCAGCCGGCCAGGCCGTCGGACCTCGATACTAGGTCTGCTGCCGGTCCGCGTTCGCCGACAAACGGGTACGAGCTCCGCCCCAGCTGTGGCCCTCTAACTAAGGGGCTAACTTACAACACGAAGCATTCCAATGCCGTGCATATGCGTTGATATGAGAACAGTGTTGCCAGAGACGACTGGATCAGGCCAGTCCTTGGTTTTGTGGCCGTTGCTTGTGATCGAGTGTAGACAATTATTGCGATTTGGTCAACAAACATCTTTGAGACGTCTTTGTTACGAACACATTTGGTTATCCTGCAGCACTATAAAATCATTTAAGTTTCTTACTGCATGGATTCACTACATGAATTTACTGCATTTACTGCATGAATTGAAGCCGTGGAGCGGTAGACGGTCGCCTTGATTTGGAGGTGTCCTTTGGCGCATATCTTTCAAAACATGCTGCTCTTGAAGCCAGACAACTTCAGGGGGACGTCAAGCAGACGGACATACAGACGCGATCGTGTCGTTATAATGATGCCTTTGATGTCTGTGGCCGGTCTTACAAAATGAATTTTTGCATGAAAACAGGACACGCTTGCGAGGACAGCGTGGCTGTAGTGAATCTTGACGGCATTACGGATCGCTGGAATCAACATTTGCTGACTGTTCAAGAAAGGTGCGCTTCGCCAGCGATCTTGTTTTGAATCGAAACTAACTCACACTTCTTACCGCAACTCTTACCGCTCTCACCGTCCTTACCACGTCTCTTAGACTAGCCAAGCAGAAATGCTATGCTGATGAAATCATTAAACATTCTGGTAACTCCTAGGAAACATGGAAAACAGTACACTCCCTCATAAATTCAAAGCGAAAAAGGATGCCGATCCAACTAGGATGAGTGAGGCTAATAGCAAAATGATCACAGATGATCAGGATATCGCAGAATCACTTCATTTCTTTTTCACTGAGATTGGACAACAGTTAAAGGACAATATTCCTAGACCATCATTCAGCCCATTCCAGTTCATCGCAAATACAGAATTAATGGATCTACCCCCCACTAACGGAGCAAACTTAATTCTTATCATTAATGGACTAAACAATGTCAGAGCTGGAGTTGACAATGTAAATGAAAAAATCTTCAATATATGTTATAGGGTAATACTCAAAGCAATTCTCCATCTTTCAACAGCTGTTATCATCAGGGATATTTCCAGGCATTTTTTTTTAAAAGCCGTGATTACACGCATCTTTAAAAGGAGAGACTGTCAATTTGTAGATAACTACAGACCTACGAGTATTCTGCTGCTTGTGTCCAAAATTCTCCAAAAACTCATCTATGTATATATATATATATATATATATATATATATATATATATATATAAGATTCATCCTTCATCTAAACCAAAATCACCTAATTCACTAAAATCAGTTCGAACTTCAGAAGAACAAAGGTACCTACATGTCAACTCTTATTCTCCAGGAAACCATCACTAAGGCTTTTGAGAACGGAGAATATGTGCTAGGTTTGTATTTAGATTTTAAAAGCATTTGACACTGTTGGCATAAACCTTCTTCTACGTAGACATAATAAATATGGTATTCGACGAAAATATCATGACGTCATTTCTTCATATTTCCCTGCTAAAATGCAATGCGTCAAAATCAGGAATTACCCATCATCATTCAAGAACGTAACGATGGTTATATCCCAAGGAGCAATTCTCGGCCCAATTATGTTCATAATGTACTTTAATGACTTGTCTAAATTAAGTAGTATCACGATTTGCCTCTCTTACACCGATAAGCTGCGATTATTTTCAAAAATAAAAGCATTGTGGAGCCTCAAAACGATATCAATGCACTTTTCCTTCTCATGACTTCCTCATTTAGTGCTAATTTTCTTTCACTGAACGTATCATAAATATTTACACAGATTTATACTATCATTTCGTCGCATTTCCAGCTAAATGTGCAAATTGATAATTCACCTATTGAGGAGAAAAAACAAGCACCTTGGTGTGCTCATTGACAAGTCTCTTAAATTTACGCGTCACCTTAATTTCGTTGCAAGCATATTAAATAGAAATATTGAAATAATAAGTAGGACTAGGTACATCAGTGATAAAACAACGTCACATCTACTCTATAACACTTTATATTTTTTTTTAATTACTGCTGCTTGATTTGAAGTGTCAGTCATGTTTCTCAACTAGATTGGTTAGTAATTTTGGAAAAAAAGGCTGTGTGCCTGATGGAAAACATGCACCATCCACAAAGCTTCGAGGCAATTTTTATGCGATACAAAATTTTGAAGTAATAAATATATCTAAATCCCACATGCTAATTGTGATACACAAATTCTAACTTTACAGCTTCCTGTATCATTCGATTTAATATACCAGCTCTACGAATCAAATAAAGTGGATATGAGGCCAGTAAAACATGTAGACTAAACTTTTTCTTATCATAGTTGTGAGCTATTTACAACATCTTCCATGGGCCCTAAGCTGTGGAACGATATTATGATTTCATATTTTCCAAGAATAACTGATATTTCCGCATTAAAAACTCTCGTTAAGAACATCCACAAGCATTTCGTGAATACATATTAACGTAGCCAACATATTTGAGGATATCGCAATTTTTTGCCCTGCACGTATTCATCTCACTTCATATTCAGCATTCTTCATGCTCCATAATCACGTTCTGAAATAGTGATGTTTGTGCACTTGTACCCAAATCCATGGCGCTGGCTCCGGGAGTTCTCGCAGCAACAAGCTCCGCTTAGCTGGGTGGACTCCCTGGACATCCAGCTCAAAACCCAGCACGAAAGTGACCAGTTAATTGTCCCTCCGACTTGCGTGATCGTACAACCCTTACTAACACTGTGACTGAGTGGTTGTAGCTTATTGGAGGGTTCTAGCGGGCGTCGTTAGCTGACTTTGACTGTGACTGCCTTTAAGCCTTCTCATGTGTGATTTGGACTTGCCTATTGCATAGCACAATTCCTGCCGGGTCTGCACCACCTCCTCGCCTGCTTATTTATGTTTGCTTCTTCTTCCTAGCTGGGAGTGCCGCGACTTGATTTGAGGTTTTCTGGTGTTAACGTACGGTTTATGGCGTCGCTGGGATAGAGGGAGTGACGCTCCTGGTTACCTGTTTTTGGGTAACGGTGTGGAAAAATGGTTATGCTGAGTTTTGAATGGTCATTTCCAGTTACTTTTCTTTTTACACCGTCCCAAGTTCTAGATCATCACCCGATGCACGAATCGCTCGGTTCAAGGTTACTAGTGTGGTAAATAAGTGCCTTCCATTTCCTAATATAAAAGGTTTTAGAACACTTCACTTCACGCCACAAGCTGTCGTGAATACCGCATTTACTGTACTGACAAGTGCCTCAGTACTTACTGAGTACCAGCAAGATGAGGGGCGGCGCCTGTGGCCCTTCGCATTTGGCAGTGCTCACCAAAACACACACGTGCGTGTGGGCCACGGTACCTGTCCTTGCCTTTATCTCCGTCTCTGTTTCTGTCTTTGTCTCTGTTTCTGCCTCTGTATCCGTATATTTCCCTATATCTGTATTCTTATCTATATCTGTATCTGCATCTGTATTTCTGTCTCTGTCTCTGTCTCTGCCTCTCTCTGCCTCTGTATTTCTGCTTCTGTCTCTGTTTCTCTGCCTCTGTCTCAGCCTTTCAGCTTCCTCCTGTATCTCTGCCTGTTTGTCTCTTTGCGTCTTTGCCTCATTGTCTCTGTTTCTGTCTCCTGTCTCGGTTTCTCTGTTCCTGTCTTTGTCTTCAGTTTTGGTTTTGGCTTTGGCTTTGGCTTTGGCTTTTCTTTAATCCAAACCCCGCCTCAAGCGCACACACGCCGTCTCCTTCCCGTCTTCTCACTCTCGCTCCCTGCCTCCTTTCCTTGCCCGCCGCCGCCGCCGCCGCCGCCGCCCTGCGCCCACCTGCTCCGACCCGTCCCGCATCTCTGGCGCTGGGGCGCCAGAGATCGGCTTTTCTGGCCCGCCAGAGGCCGGCATCTTTGGGTCGCCAGAGGTCGGCTTTTCTGGCCCGCCAGAGGCGGGCATCTTTGGGTCGCCAGAGGTCGGCTTTTCTGGCCCGCCAGAGGCCGGCATCTTTGGGTCGCCAGAGGTCGACCTCTCTGGCCCGCCAGAGTCCGACCTCTTTTCGGCCGCCAGAGGCCGACTCTCCGGGCCGCCAGAGGCCGGCTCTCTAGCTCTCCAGAGGCCAGCTTCTTGGGCGGCCAGAGACCGGCTGTCCTCTCTGGGCCGCCAGATGTTGTCATGTTTGGGCCGTCAGAGGCCAGCTGTCTGGCCCGTCAGTGGACGGCTCTTTAGGCCGCCGAAGGCTGGCTCCCTGGGTCGCCAGAGGCCGGCCTCTCTGGACCGCACTTTCAGACTGATAGCGGGCCTCGCTCTGCTTCAGACTGTTTCTGCTGGGTCTGCTGGTCGCCGCCGTCCCGGCAGCCGCCCAGCGCCCCCGGACTCCGCAGCGGCAGGCTAAGCCCGAATATGGAAACTACCGGCCACCGCCGCAGGTCAGCCTCCCAGCGCACGCGGGCTAGCGGCTCGCCAGACTGCTGAGGTGAAAACCCATGGTCGCCAGTAGGACATGTACTGACAAACTGTAGTTGAAGATGAGTTGAAGAACTGTAGCGATGCTATTATTTCAGCGCATTGCATGCAATATGTTTTTGTAACGCTGCTTTAGGTATTGATGGAATAATGTCGCTGAATTCCTTGGTAATGAATTATATGATCCATTTCCTACGAACATCCGTATGTGTGAGTCATCCGTTCAGCTTGGCCAGGCCGCCTTCCATGCACGGAAAGTGGTGCAACAAAACATTTCTTGGTGTGGACTGCCAAGGCGGGGGGGGGGGGGGGGGGCATTATTACGTCCATTGACACAAAAGCATGCGGCTGACCAAATTTAAACTACCGCATTGGACAGTGGCACGAGACACGACTGTGAAGCCGGAGCGGCTTGCTGCTAGTCCTACGTATATGAGGCGAGTTCTTGGCTAAATATGCATGAGGATGCATGTTTGGTGCCCGTAATTACATCGCATCTATTTTGTATTATGTCATGTATTTTATATCATTTGATTTGTACTAGTATATTTCTCTATTATACCTTTACCTTCGTGATATACCTACAGGTGTGTTCAGTGCCTCGGGGGACAAGGGTCCTGCCGTGCTTACCCGCCTACCGTGCTTATCCACCTACCGTACCTACCGGATGTTTAGAAATTACGATGAAACAAAAGGAATGTGGTGGGGGCCAAGGTAAACAGAGTGCGCTGCTGAGCCTCGCCAAGTTTTGCGGTAAATTATTTTTGACCATTTCAACAAAAAAACCTTTCTCGCCATTTTTGGTCAAGGAAAATGCCTACATTTTTGAAGATGACACAAAAGCACACGGTGGACGTCGAGGCGAAGAGAATATGTTGGCGGACCTCCCCGAACTTTACTGAACAGTCGTGTAATGGACGATACCCCTCTGCCCTTTCCCATCCTCCCTGAGTACGTCCCTGCTACATATCGTATGTGCCTTTCTACAAAACTTCCAAATGCTGCCCGTTTCTCAGGCGCCATTCCATTTCAGGTCCTCCGAAATATAACGTTTTCATTTTGGCGAAATCCTGGATCTTCCGTCTGTAATGATCTTCTGAATATTTTATGAAAATTGTCATTTACTTAGCGACGAAGTGAGGACCATTTTCAAACTTCAGTGTACTGGTCATAGCACCTCGGAGGCGGAAACCAGTGTAACCATTCAACCAGAACAACGTTCTAGTGATAAATACGTGCAAGATCGTTGCATCAGGCTCATGCAGTATAGCAATCGAAATTCTATTTGAGAACGCAAATAAAGGAAACCAAGACATGAACTTCGCCCATCCAACGATATTTTCATCGCTTGCATTTTGAGTTCTATCGCAAGATCAGCGGACTCTTCTTTCCTTGAACCAGTTCAGGCCTGAGGGTCAAGAGCGAGTTGGTGCGATGTCGGAGGAGGGGTGACAGGTAATGACTGTCATTTCACCTAACGACTCTGAAGTAACAACAGAGCATTCCTCATTTCGCCCTAGGCATCAGAACATTGTCGAGAATGTGACCTAGACTGAGAATGACTTACTTAGACCTACTGCCTCTGTCCGGAGCCAGCACTGGCGAGGACGCGTCATTTTTGCTCACTGTTGAATACTCTCTGCTCTGTGCACTGCTCACTGTTCTTTGTTCATTTGTTGTAATAGCCGCTTTATTTCGCAGAAAATATTTCTGTTGTTAAGTTCGTTGAAGCTGACTTCATAAATTCACTCGAAATATGACCTTAATTCGTTTTCTCACATTTTACGGAGCTCTATGAAACTACGTCGAGGAGACCCATAAAGGTTGTAAAACGCCGTTCTTGGTGTGGATGTTCGGCCCTCGCTCTTCACAGAGCTTCTTCTCGCATCGTATCGTATCGTATACTGTATCGTGCCGTACATGATAGGTTATGAAAAATACTCACCCAGCTGCGGAAGTGAACTCTGTGGGGCTAAACCCAGCGTGCTGTGACTCTAGCTAACGTCAAGCGATGTTTCTTATGTACGGGTCACGCCCTGTTTGTCTCGGCAGCACAGCTGTATGACTTGTTACTGCGCCGAGGAATATCGAGACGGCTAGCGATTTCGAGATTTCCAATGTACTTCAGTCGAATTGTGAATTGTGGCTCATCGTCTGCGAACGTGGGTCAAAGTAGAATCAACCCGGTGATACTGACCGGGGCTATCGCTGGCTGTTAAGAAAAGCCATGATCCGACGATGACATGAGATGCGTGGCTTATTGACTCACGAAGACTTTTGGTGGCGTTCAAGTCGTAGTGTTTCGCAGCCCGTTTCAGTGTCCTGATGACTGTCTTGATGACTGCTGAGGGGTGTGCGTGGCGTCTACTGTCTGATATGTCATCTCAAAGGCGCGCAGCACGCCTCGGTAACCTGTCTCGTAACCAATCGGTACGTAACCAAACGGTAACCAATCTCGGTAACCTGTTGACCGTCTCGTTACCTATAGACGAGTATTTCCCGACCTTTTCGTGTCTATTTTCTTCTCACGATTGATCTAGCTATGATTTTCCAGGGCCAAATAGCGAAACTCGATTTGAATAAGTTGTGCGCACTGTCATCTCCCACTGTGAACAGGTCGTATCATTGGCGGACAGGTTCAGAGAAGTGCACTGCACACCACCCTGCACGGCCAACCGTCACGATTTCTCTGACTGATTATTTTCCCTCGGGAAAAATCCTCTAGTTGGAAGCGCCGGCCCGCAGACCGTCTCAGCGGCGTCGTCGGCCGCCGTTGTCCGTCAGCCACCGCACTGCATCAATACAGTGGCAATACAACACAGAAACGCGCCGTTTTGTTCGGCAGCAATGTAGCGCGGTAGCCGCTCGGGTCGACCTGGTGTCCGGCCGTGAGCGACAAGATCAACGGCGCGCTCTTCTTCTACCAGGAGTGCCCCAGCCACCCGGTCATGGTCACTGGTGCGTGCGCACGTGTGGGCGAGCTAAGGCGGTACGCGCTCCATTTGCTGCGGTACCCACTGTCAGCTATTACGCTTGAACTGTTTATGGATTAAAGCGAACATCCCGCGTTTCTTGAGTGACTTGTGAAACGTTCTATGGAAGTTCACCAAATGTTCAGGTATCTGAATAGACCAACCGACACGTTTTTAAACGGCAAAGGTGTTCAGCGTTAAACCAAAACACGGAGTTCGAATGCCATCAGACAAGGTTTGTAAAGCTAGGTTTGCCCTACTAAGAGTAGCAATCACAGTGTCCTTCCCTGCTTTTTATGCGCAAAATTATCACCCAGATACTCAATTTAGCTACAGTTAGCTTCTTCTTGTGACAGGCAACACCCTGCTTTTGTTTTGCACCACTGGCTGGCTAAAGAAGCAGACAGGTTCTGCTTTCTAGTGACGTCACGCATAACACAGTACCAGCCAGGTGAATACATTTTTCGCTTCATTTAGCGTAGCAATATTGTAACCAAGGGAGGGGTGGACACACACAAATTCCAAAAATGCGCATCACGATGCATCGCCGGTACTTGATTACCGTTGGCTATCACTACACATCACCTTGCACGTTTTAAGACATCCTTGATTATTTTTGCTTGTTTCGAACGCATATTCCGTTCATGCATCCTGCAATCTTGTTTAATTTGGCCCCAGCGGAAGTGATACCGGATCTGAATTGCAGCATATTAGGCCTAGACCGACCTTAACTTCAAGCAGGATAACGTAAGTTTGTTCGGTGCACTAGCGAGGAAACGTTATCCACATAGATAAGACAGTAGTATTAGCATTATTCGTCGGAGAAAAACCAGGGGAATGGAGATGTAGTGCGGCTGATATTTTGGCAACATGCCTTTATTGAAACAATAGCAGAAGATAGCAAAGACTTCTGCTATTGTTTCGATAAAGTTATGTTGCCGAAATATCAACCGAACTCTATCTCCATTCTTCTGGTTGTTCTCCGAAGATTAAGGTTAATAATTCTGTCTTCTTTAAGCAGCATAACCCAATTTTAAATCGGTTTCAATATCGACGGAATATTTGGTGTTATTTCGAATCAGATCGCGATGGAGTCGATCCAGATGCAACTGGTTTAAAATGTAGCCTATGGATGGTTAAACGAACGCGCTTTTGGCTTAGTTTTATGAAGCTGCAGCACTCACTTTTGACGTAGTTTTTACAAGGCTGCAACGCATGCAGCGCTCCGTGTGCTGGACACGCAGCATCTGTTACCAGAAATGCATTCGTCACAATTCACATTTCTATGTGAGTACACAAATCTAGAGTCTAGCTCGAACGGCTGGCTCAGCTCCGACCTCAACAAACTGTTCACCTTGACACCCCACGATTCCACTATGACCCACTAAAAATCTGTCCGATCCTGATGCCGAATCCGACTCTGGACGACGTCAAACACAGGTCGAGCTATTTTAGGATAGACCAGTGTTTTACTCGTCTAGCTATTGAATGGACCCAGATATATGCTACGTGACCAGCTAAACACGGAGTGCCCTCGATGCGCTTTCATCCATAAGTCTTGTTATACCTTCACGCGCTTCCATACGCATCTACTTATCCAGGTTGCGTATTATTGCATGGCTCATGATATTTGCGCTCGCTATGCTCCATGCCACACCGGGAGCTCCAGTTTCAAATGAATACCTACACGCGATTTGGTTTATTTCTTAGATTACGCGAGTCGTGCAGTTTGTCACAGACATTTCATCATCCGTATGGGACATGTCGAACCGCGCACCATCATGACTGGAGCGTACTGGAGTGTCCCTGACCGGCGGTGTGTTTTCAGGTCGCATCTCGGGTTTGACGCCGGGCAAGCACGGGCTGCACGTGCACGAGCTGCCCAACTTGGGCGAGAAGTGCTCGGACGCTGGAGGTCACTACAACCCGTTCCAGGTCCACACTGGGTCACGCGCCGCGGTGTCGGAACCGGCCATCCCGGGGCCGGGACCAGCCATCCTGGGGCCGGAACCAGCCATCCCGGGGCCGGAACCAGGCATCCCGGGGCCGGAACCAGCCATCCCGGGGCCGGAACCAGCCATCCCGGGGCCGGAGCCAGCCATCCCGGGGCCGGAACCAGCCATCCCGGGGCCGGAACCAGCCATCCTGGGGCCGGAGCCAGCCATCCCGGGGCCGGAATCGGCCATCCCGGGGCCGGAGCCAGCCATCCCGGGGCCGGAACCAGCCATCCCGGGGCCGGAACCAGGCATCCCGGGGTCGGAACCAGCCATCCCGGGGCCGGAACCAGGCATCCCGGGGTCGGAACCAACCAGCCCGGGGTCGGAACCAGCTGTCCGGGGCCGGAGCCAGCCATCCCGGGGCCGGAACCAGCCATCCCGGGGCCGGAACCAGGCATCCCGGGGCCGGAACCAACCAGCCCGGGGTCGGAACCAGCTGTCCGGGGCCGGAACCAGGCATCCCGGGGTCGGAACCAGCCATCCCGGGGCCGGAACCAGGCATCCCGGGGTCGGAACCAACCAGCCCGGGGTCGGAACCAGCTGTCCGGGGCCGGAGCCAGCCATCCCGGGGCCGGAACCAGCCATCCCGGGGCCGGAACCAGCCATCCCGGGGCCGGAACCAGGCATCCCGGGGCCGGAACCAACCAGCCCGGGGTCGGAACCAGCTGTCCGGGCCGGAGCCAGCCATCCCGGGGCCGGAACCAGCCGTCCCGGGGCCGGAACCAGCTATCCCGGGGTCGGGACCAGGCGTTCGGAGGGTCCAGAACCGAAGGAGATGCACTCTTGGGATGATACTTTGTGTCGACCTTGGGAGTAGTACCCTCGTCCCCCCCCCCCACACACATTCACTCAGTGTCCTTGTGCTGGCTCCTCCCCCCCCCCGTCCTGGTCTCGGAGCTGGTGGTATGGAGCGCAAGCCACTAGAATCGGTAGGAAGCTCCACTTATGGTTGCAGCTTACATTCACGCTTTATGGACTATTCGATCCGTCGGAATGGTGCGCAAGCTGTAAGGTACACGAAATAAGTGTTTTGTGTTGATGAATCATTATTTTTTAAGGTAAAAACCCAAACTTCTTGAATTAATGGATCCCTGGATCAGAGGACACGCTAAGCAGCACCTATTGCGTGAGCCGTGACCCCTACCATCCGATCGCGAAATCCCAGTTCAAAGGCAGACCTTGTCGGTGGAAGTTTGAAATGCAGTAATGCTCGGCACGGTCCGTCGTGCCCTCTGAGCTCACCTGACCTTTCGAGCGGCCCCTGCCACCTGCCGCACGCCATTCCAGTCAAGGCCAAGTAGCAGGCGTCTCATGCGGCTCGGACCCACCCCCATGGGTGGGTGGATCGGAAGGGTGGACTTTAACCAACTAAGCCATCGGGACGGGCAGTAGGGACGGACTTCTTCGTTTCAATGAGTCCATCACTGAAACACCAAGAAACTACTGGCTTCTAAGACCACTGGCAGTGATCAAACGTCAATTCCAGTGAAGACTTCAAGTGACCAACTAGCCATAAACGCTGCAGATGAGACCGCCGTGCTCGGTACTCCGGGGCGTAGCACCGTAGAACTAAAAGTGGAGAGCTCTTTTGATCCCATTACCACACTTCGGTCGAATGCGTATGCATATGCATATGCACCCGTTCTCATTCTGATGCACTTGCCGATAGCAGCTGTTACAGAGCCTCTCCTTCATTACCGAGGTTGTTACGGCACATTATATGTGGCTGAATCTCACAAATAGATTAAACGGCTCAACCGACCCTCCCTCATCGCTGAGCTATCTTCACTAAGCTCCTTCAGATAGCAGCGAGCCAAAACCTTGTACTTTGGCGCCCACTTTTCCACTAACGGGGGCCATGATCCGGCAGATATTTTCGTTGCAGAGAAACCATGGTGCACAAACCAGCGACAACCGACCACAGGCACGTCGGTGACCTAGGCACATCGTGGCCGACTACAACGGTGTGGCCGAGGTCTACATCGCCGACCCCATCATCAGTCTGTTCCCGGGCGACCGCGACATCTTCCGACGGTAACTACCACGCTAGGGAAGATTGCTGCGCTACGGGGAGGGGGGCGGGGGCGGGAGCAAAAGTTTTCGACAGCGCACCTAACGCGATTGCGCTAATCGCATTGATAAACAGCGAGATGATCGGCCACGCGCCTATGCGTTGAGTGATACAGTGTGTAAATACTAAAGGTTCGTTTGCACCTCGCCGGCTTGCTACCGAATCCGCTGTAGTTTGTGTAGACGTCACATGCCACAGGCTAGAGATGCCGTGCGCTCAGTGCCCTCAGGCCGGCGAAACGTGCAGCTTAACAACGCCATCGGAGGAGCAAACCCTCTAGTCGGCAACAGCTGACGACTGTCGAGTTACTCGCAACAGGTGGCACTGGCAGTCAGGCCAAACGACTGTGCATACATTCTGCCAGCGACGCGGAACCAGCTGTCCTTCTAAGAAGACGCTGACTTCCCTTGCCGCAGGTCGATTGTGGTGCACTCTGGGGAGGATGACCTCGGCCTCGGCGGCAACCCCGGCAGCCTCAAGACCGGAAACGCAGGCATGCGACTCGGCTGCGGTGTAATTGCGCCCAATAACGTTCTCTGATTGTGACGTCACAGCTACTGGATGGCGCGAACGCTGACGTCATTCGCTGCGCTCGTGCTGGTCACGTCGCCCGGTCCGGCTGTGTGTCAATGATGCAATCAGCCTTTGGCACCTATTTTAAGACGCTTTGTGAAGTGCAGCTGCGACGGCGGAGCCTAAAGTCTTAGCGCATGCGTATCAGAAGCTATATCTTAACTGCGTTTGCTGCTTGGCTTCGCTGACATCACCATTTCATGTCACTGCACTGTTATCTTTCGCATTCGACAAACCGTGAGAATTTCTTGTGGCGATTTTAAGCAATGGATAG